CCGAGCCTATGCATTTCCTACTTTTATTAACAAGAATGATATAGCTTTGCTTACATTAAATCCTGATCTTATTTCTTCCCAGTTCCTCCCAGGATAGAACTGAGTGTGGCTATGAAATCTTTGCTTACTGTGAAAGCTGGAACTAATGTTTGCCTGGATGCTACTGTTTTTGGTAAACCAATGCCAACCGTCTCTTGGAAGAAGGAGGGCACACTACTGAAACCAGCAGAAGGCATAAAGATGGCCATGAAGCGGAACCTATGCACCCTGGAGCTGTTCAGCGTGAACCGAAAGGACTCGGGCGACTATACCATTACTGCTGAAAATTCAAGTGGTTCCAAATCAGCCACCATTAAGCTTAAAGTGTTAGGTAACTATAGTGCTTATTTAGAATCTCATATTTTACTTCGGTTGATGTGAGGTAATAGAATTTACAAAATCATATGTGAGAAAAGATACATAATGATGTATCGTTTGTAATCAGATAATTATTCTCATCACAGGGTAATGGGATTTTTAGGCTGAAAAGAGCATTAGAAGTCATATATTCCAGTTACATATTTTACATATAAGGAAATTAAGATTCTGAAAAATTATGTACTTTCCAAGGTCCTACAGAAGTTAATGACAACATATAAAGACTGCGGTCAGGTCTCCAGACCTGCAGTCTACTCATTCCCCATTTCACATGTGTTAGTGGAAGACTTCACTTTTCTTTCTTATTCTTTCAGATAAACCGGGTCCTCCAGCATCTGTTAAAATCAACAAAATGTATGCAGATCGTGCAATGCTTTCTTGGGAACCTCCTCTTGAAGATGGAGGCTCAGAAATCACCAACTATGTTATTGACAAACGTGAAACAAGCAGACCCAACTGGGCACAAGTCTCGGCTACCGTGCCCATCACCAGCTGCAGTGTGGAGAAACTCATAGAGGGCCATGAATATCAGTTCCGAATTTGTGCTGAGAATAAATATGGTGTGGGCGATCCAATCTTCACTGAACCAGCAATTGCTAAAAACCCATATGGTAGGAATGAACATTTTCCTTGAGTTTTTCATTTGACTTTTTAAAGTTTACCTTTTAGACTGGCATATTAACTTTTCAATCAATCTCTGCAGACCCACCCGGGCGCTGTGATCCTCCTGTTATTAGCAACATAACCAAAGATCACATGACGGTAAGCTGGAAACCACCAGCAGATGATGGCGGCTCACCCATCACTGGCTATTTGGTTGAAAAGCGAGAAACCCAGGCAGTTAACTGGACTAAAGTCAACAGAAAACCTGTTATAGAAAGAACAATAAAAGCAACAGGTCTCCAAGAAGGCACTGAATATGAGTTCCGAGTTACAGCTATAAATAAGGCTGGACCAGGGAAACCCAGTGATGCATCCAAAGCTGCTTATGCCCGGGACCCTCTGTGTAAGTTTTCATGAAAGAGTCCCATATCTCATGTTATAATCAACCCTGAACAACCAGGAATGAGATTTTAATGAAATTTTTCTGTTATTTATCCTCAGATCCTCCTGGCCCACCAGCTTTTCCTAAAGTATATGATACGACCCGTAGCTCTGTGAGTCTATCTTGGGGCAAGCCAGCCTATGACGGTGGTAGCCCTATCATTGGCTACCTTGTTGAAGCAAAACGAGCTGACTCTGATAACTGGGTGAGGTGCAATTTACCAGAGAAGCTACAGAAAACCCGCTTCGAGGTTACTGGCCTAATGGAAGACACAGAATATCAGTTCCGCGTGTATGCTGTTAATAAGATTGGATACAGCGACCCCAGTGATGTGCCAGACAAACACCGTCCCAAGGACATCTTAAGTAAGTATTACCAGGAGAAATAGTTTTTTTCTCATCAGGCATATTATAAAAGGCAGTATAGAACTCCCTTATGTAGATTTGTTTATTTATGAGCATTAGAGTTGGTAGCTCCAGGAGTACATTGTAATGGAGACTGGGTTGGTACTTTATGATATCCTACACAGACCAAATGGAATGTAAGCTGATCTGTGGCTTTGAAAAGCTTTTCATACTTACATGAGAATTCATGTCTTCAAAAGAAGAATATGGAACATAGGAATTTTATTCTGAAAATAGGTTTTTTTTTAACTAAGTAATGAGCTATTTGTCATTCTAATGGGCTTTTTTTTTCATCTTCTAATCCATCCTTCTTCATAAGTATGTAATTATAGGCTGTGCCTCCTAATTTTCCTTCTCACCAGTTTTCTATTTGCTTCTTTCCCATAACCATTTCTCCCTTTATTTTGAATTACTTGGTGTAATACTTCACCCCCTATATATTTTTCTTCCCATGATGAAATAAAGAGAGCCAGATTATACATCAGAGAGCTTCACTGAACACAGAAAAGAAAAACAAGAATGGAAGAGAGCCAAGAATCAATTATCTATGTTTAAGAGAGAGTTTGAGAGTATGGAAGGTTCGTGAGAGGAGAAGGAGAGAAGTTACAGATCCTTCAGGGAAAACTTGGGTTTAGCCTACAGGATATTAGAATATAGAAAGATCAACAATCACTACAGAGTGCTGAAATAGTTGACAAAAGTTTTGAGGATCATAGAATTTTTTAAAGACCTAGAAATCAGTTCTGAAAAAGAAACTAATTTAAGAGTGGTAAGGTTAGTCCTTGGAAATATATTTGACCATTAAATTATTATTTTAAACAGTCCCACCTGAGGGAGAGCTCGATGCTGATTTGAGGAAAACACTCATATTACGTGCTGGAGTTACAATGAGATTGTATGTACCAGTAAAAGGCCGTCCACCTCCAAAGATAACCTGGTCTAAACCAAACGTCAATCTAAGAGAAAGGATTGGACTTGACATAAAATCAACGGACTTTGACACTTTCTTGCGCTGTGAAAATGTGAACAAATATGATGCAGGAAAATATATCTTGACTCTGGAGAACAGCTGCGGTAAAAAGGAATATACCATTGTAGTGAAAGTGCTTGGTAAGTCTATTTGAAGAAAACAATCCTATGTTAAAAATGTAGTTTATGTATTTTTTACATATTCATTTCTTATTTGTCCATGATTTGTCCAGATACTCCCGGGCCACCTGTCAATGTCACTGTTAAGGAAATATCCAAAGATTCTGCTTATATTACCTGGGACCCTCCCATTATTGATGGCGGAAGTCCCATCATAAACTATGTGGTGGAAAAACGTGACGCAGAGAGGAAGTCCTGGTCTACGGTGACGACGGAGTGCTCAAAAACAAGCTTCCGAGTGTCTAACTTGGAGGAGGGAAAATCCTACTTCTTCAGGGTGTTTGCTGAAAATGAGTATGGCATCGGCGATCCTGGTGAAACACGAGATGCTGTCAAAGCTTCCGGTAAGCAAATGAGCCACTTACCCCAGCGTTCTGAGTGACCTCTTACCTTGGTTATCTGGGGCTTAGCCCTATCATTTTTCCTTTGCTTTAGAAACCCCTGGACCAGTTGTGGACCTGAAAGTGGTATCTGTAACTAAGTCATCTTGTAGCATAGCCTGGAAAAAGCCTCGCAGTGATGGTGGCAGCCGAATTACTGGATATGTAGTAGATTTCCTGACTGAAGACAATAAGTGGCAACGTGTTACAAAATCATTAAGCTTACAGTATGCCGCAAAAGATTTGACTGAAGGCAAGGAATATACCTTCAGAGTCAGTGCTGAGAATGAAAACGGAGAAGGAACCCCAAGTGAAATCACTGCTGTGGCAAAGGATGATATTGGTAAGCCTTTAGCCACGCATCTTCATTTTCCCTTTATTGCCATCAAAAGTGCACGCTTGAGCCCTACTCACAGGCTTATCTAAAAATCCTTTAAAAATTATTATAATCTGAAAAAATTAATTGCCTGGCCTGAAAAATGACAATAATTTATCTCTGCTGTTTTACAGTGGCTCCTGACCTTGACTTAAAGGACATACCTGATTTGTGCTACTTGGCTAAAGAAAACAGCAACTTCCGTCTTAAGATCCCCATAAAAGGCAAGCCAGCTCCATCAGTATCCTGGAAGAAAGAGGAAGATCCTCTACCAACTGACACAAGAGTCAGTGTTGAGTCAACTGCAGTTAACACAACTCTTGTGGTACATGATTGCCAAAAATCTGATGCTGGAAAATACACAATCACACTTAAGAACGTTGCCGGCACCAAAGAAGGAACTCTTTCTATAAAAGTTGTTGGCAAGCCTGGCATCCCCACGGGACCAATCAAATTTGATGAAGTCACAGCAGAAGCCATGACCTTAAAGTGGGGTCCTCCAAAGGATGACGGAGGTTCTGAAATCACCAACTATATCCTAGAGAAGAGAGATTCTGTAAACAACAAGTGGGTGATCTGTGCCTCAGCTGTCCAGAAAACCACCTTTAGAGTAACCAGACTTCATGAGGGCATGGAATACACCTTCAGGGTCAGTGCTGAAAATAAATATGGTGTAGGAGAAGGCCTGAAATCAGAGCCAATTGTTGCTAAACATCCATTTGGTGAGTGTCTCAGAGTCAGAAAACACAAAGCAAAACATGTTTTTGAGAAAAGTTCCCTATTATAACTCTTGCATCATCTACTTTTTCCTAGATGTGCCTGATGCTCCCCCACCTCCCAATATCGTGGATGTCAGACATGATTCGGTATCTCTAACTTGGACTGACCCCAGGAAAACTGGTGGCTCTCCAATTACAGGTATTTCATTTGCTCTTCTCCTACAGCTTTTACGTTAATGTTTCTTCCAAATCGTCCTCCCTGAAAAACAAGCTGAATGTATGCTCCTTATTTATAGCACTACCTGCACATACAGTAATGGTTTTTTTCCTTTCAGTACATTAAGCATTAGTTAAGCTAATACTTGATTTCAGTGAAAATCTCCTAATAGTTAAAAAGGCTTTCGTAGTGATATCTCTTTTACTAAGTTAGAATTTTTCAACAGAAGGTGCAACAAATACACATATTCCAAGAGGGGAAAAAAAAGTGCCTAGGAAATAAAAGTATAGCTATTAGCAAGAATGACTATTTATTCCATATTATGTCCACATATAAACCATTTGGGCAAAAACATGTACTTAAAAACCAGATTGGCATTTGTATTTTCTACCTGAATTGACAAATTCACTGGGTCTTTTTTTTGTAGGGTATCATATCGAGTTCAAGGAAAGGAACAGCCTTTTGTGGAAGAGAGCTAACAAGACTCCTATTAGGATGAAAGACTTCAAAGTGACAGGATTGACTGAAGGTCTTGAGTACGAATTCCGAGTCATGGCAATCAATTTAGCAGGAGTAGGCAAGCCAAGCCTGCCATCAGAGCCAGTTGTGGCACTTGATCCAATTGGTAAGTCGTTGTACAAAGAAAAGCCCAGGTATGTTTTCTGCGTGAAAAAAAAAAAAAAAACATTGCTATTTGACTGGCTTTTTTGCTTTGTTTTAGATCCTCCTGGCAAACCTGAGGTTATTAATGTAACAAGGAATTCAGTGACCCTCATTTGGACTGAACCCAAATATGATGGTGGTCATAAGTTGACTGGATATATAGTGGAGAAGCGGGATCTACCCTCTAAATCTTGGACGAAAGCCAACCATATTAATGTCCCAGATTGTGCCTTTACTGTAACTGACCTTGTTGAAGGTGGAAAATATGAATTCAGAGTTAGAGCGAAGAATACAGCAGGTGCTATCAGTGCTCCATCAGAAAGCACAGGAACCATTATTTGCCAGGATGAATATGGTAGGTCTATTTTACTTTTTCATGCCCATAAAAAAAAAAGCAAATTAAGCCTCCTTCCTTTGCCGATTAATTTTTTTTTTTCTTTGCAGAGGCACCAACCATTGTCCTTGATCCCACAATAAAAGATGGGCTGACAATTAAAGCAGGAGATACCATTGTTTTGAGTGCCATTAGCATTCTTGGCAAGCCCCTTCCAAAGTCGAGTTGGTCTAGGGCAGGAAAAGACATGAGACCATCAGATATTGTTCAGATATCTTCGACCCCAACATCTTCCATGCTTACTGTCAAGTATGCCACTAGAAAAGATGCTGGTGAATATACCATTACTGCTACCAATACTTTTGGCACAAAGGAGGAACATGTGAAGGTAACAGTCCTCGATGTACCTGGTCCCCCAGGTCCCATTGAAATCAGTAATGTTTCTGCTGAAAAAGCAACACTCACATGGACACCTCCATTGGAGGATGGTGGCTCACCAATTAAGTCCTATGTTCTTGAAAAGAGAGAAACCAGTCGACTTTTATGGACAGTGGTTGCTGAAGATATTCAGTCTTGCAGGCATGTGGCCACCAAACTTATCCAAGGAAATGAGTACCTCTTCCGGGTCTCAGCTGTAAACCAGTATGGGAAAGGAGAACCTGTACAGTCTGAACCTGTCAAAATGGTGGACAGATTTGGTATGTAGAGCATCTAAGGGAACTGACATGTTAACATTTGCAGCAGAGTTTGTGAAAGCATGGATTTCTCATAAGTTTGCTTCTTTTTCAGGTCCCCCTGGCCCTCCTGGAAAACCAGAAGTATCAAATGTCACTAAAAACACTGCCACCGTCAGTTGGAAAAGACCAGCTGATGATGGTGGTAGTGAAATCACAGGATATCATATTGAAAGGAGAGAAAAGAAAAGCCTGCGATGGGTGAGGGCAACAAAGACTCCAGTTTCAGATCTCAGATGCAAAGTAACAGGATTGCAAGAAGGAAACACCTACGAATTTCGTGTCAGTGCAGAAAACAAAGCTGGAATTGGTCCACCTAGTGATGCTTCAAATCCTGTTCTGATGAAAGATGTAGCATGTTAGTATTTATTTTTTTCAACACCACTCATTTGGGAGTGCCAGTATTTCAGAGAAGTTATCTAAAAGCCAAACTCCTAACATATGCTTTTGTGTCTTTGCTTCTGTTTCAGATCCCCCAGGACCACCTTCAAATGCCCATGTCACTGATACTACCAAAAAATCTGCTTCTTTAGCATGGGGCAAGCCTCATTATGATGGAGGACTTGAAATCACTGGCTATGTCGTAGAGCATCAAAAAGTAGGAGATGAGGCCTGGATAAAAGATACAACAGGAACTGGTCTCCGAATCACTCAATTTGTTGTCCCTGATCTTCAGACTAAAGAAAAATACAATTTTAGAATCAGAGCCATCAACGATGCAGGTATTGGGGAGCCGGCAATGATTCCAGATGTTGAAATTGTAGAACGGGAAATGGCTCCTGATTTTGAACTAGATGCTGAGCTTCGAAGAACACTTGTTGTTAGAGCAGGACTCAGTATTAGAATATTCGTGCCAATTAAAGGTCGTCCTGCTCCTGAAGTGACATGGACCAAAGATGACATCAACCTTAAAAACCGAGCTAACATTGAAAACACAGAATCATTTACTCTTCTGATTATACCAGAATGTAACAGATATGACACTGGTAAATTTGTCATGACCATTGAAAACCCTGCTGGGAAGAAAAGTGGCTTTGTTAACGTCCGAGTCTTGGATACCCCAGGACCTGTCCTTAACCTGAGGCCTACAGACATCACAAAGGACAGTGTCACCCTGCACTGGGACCTCCCGCTGATAGATGGGGGCTCCCGTATAACAAACTACATTGTGGAGAAACGAGAAGCAACACGGAAATCTTACTCCACAGTCACCACAAAGTGCCATAAATGCACGTATAAAGTTACTGGCTTGTCAGAAGGAAGCGAATACTTCTTTAGAGTGATGGCGGAAAACGAATATGGAATTGGTGAGCCAGCAGAAACAGCAGAACCTGTGAGAGCCTCTGAAGCACCGTCACCACCAGACAGTCTGAACATTATGGACATAACTAAGAGCACAGTCAGCCTGGCATGGCCTAAACCAAAGCATGATGGTGGCAGTAAGATCACTGGCTATGTGATCGAAGCCCAAAGAAAAGGCTCTGACCAGTGGACCCACATCACCACCGTGAAGGGGTTAGAATGTGTCGTGAAGAATCTAACTGAAGGGGAAGAATACACCTTCCAAGTGATGGCCGTGAACAGTGCAGGAAGAAGTGCCCCTAGAGAAAGCAGACCCGTCATTGTCAAGGAGCAGACAACACTTCCCGAATTGGATCTTCGTGGCATCTATCAGAAATTAGTCATCGCCAGAGCTGGTGAGAACATCAAAGTGGAAATTCCAGTGCTTGGTCGGCCAAAGCCCACAGTTACATGGAAAAAAGGAGACCAGATTCTTAAACAAACGCAGAGAGTTAACTTTGAAAACACAGCCACTTCAACCATCTTAAATATCAACGAGTGTGTAAGAAGTGATAGTGGGCCCTATCCATTAACAGCAAGGAACATTGTGGGAGAGGTTGGTGATGTCCTCACTATTCAAGTCCACGATATCCCAGGGCCACCTACTGGACCAATCAAATTTGATGAAGTTTCATCTGATTTTGTAACCTTCTCTTGGGACCCACCAGAAAACGATGGAGGTGTACCAATAAGCAACTATGTAGTAGAAATGCGCCAGACTGACAGCACTACATGGGTTGAATTAGCAACCACTGTCATACGCACTACCTATAAAGCCACTCGCCTTACTACCGGAGTGGAGTATCAATTCCGGGTAAAAGCTCAAAATAGATATGGAGTTGGACCAGGCATCACATCCGCATCTATAGTTGCCAACTATCCATTTAAGGTTCCTGGGCCTCCCGGGACCCCTCAGGTGACTGCAGTTACCAAGGATTCAATGACAATTAGCTGGCATGAGCCTCTTTCTGATGGTGGAAGCCCCATTTTAGGATACCACATTGAAAGGAAAGAACGCAATGGTATTCTCTGGCAGACTGTGAGCAAAGCATTAGTACCGGGCAACATTTTCAAATCAAGTGGACTTACAGATGGTATTGCTTATGAATTCCGAGTGATTGCAGAAAACATGGCAGGCAAAAGCAAGCCAAGCAAGCCATCTGAACCTATGCTTGCTTTAGATCCCATTGACCCACCTGGGAAACCAGTTCCTCTAAATATTACTAGACACACAGTGACACTTAAATGGGCTAAGCCTGAATACACTGGAGGCTTTAAAATTACCAGTTATATAGTTGAAAAGAGAGATCTTCCCAGTGGACGGTGGCTAAAGGCCAACTTCAGCAACATCCTGGAGAATGAATTTACGGTCAGCGGCCTAACAGAAGATGCTGCCTACGAATTCCGCGTGATTGCCAAAAATGCTGCTGGTGCTATTAGTCCACCATCTGAGCCATCAGATGCTATCACGTGTAGGGATGACATTGAAGCACCAAGGATAATGGTGGATGTTAAATTTAAAGACACAGTAATATTAAAAGCAGGTGAAGCATTCAAGCTAGAAGCTGATGTTTCAGGTCGCCCACCACCAACAATGGAATGGACCAAAGGTGGAAAGGATCTTGAAGGCACAGCGAAGTTAGAAATAAGAATCGCAGATTTCTCTACTTACCTGATAAACAAGGAATCATCAAGAAGGGACAGTGGTGCCTATGTTCTTACAGCAATGAATCCTGGTGGGTTTGCTAAACACATTTTCAATGTCAAAGTTCTTGATAGACCAGGCCCACCTGAAGGACCTTTAGCTGTATCTGAAGTGACAGCAGAAAAATGTGTATTGTCATGGTTGCCTCCACTGGATGACGGGGGTGCCAAAATTGATCACTATATAGTTCAGAAACGTGAAACCAGCAGATTGGCATGGACAAATGTAGCCTCCGAAGTCCAAGTGACCAAACTAAAGGTCACTAAACTTTTGAAAGGCAATGAATACATATTCCGTGTCATGGCTGTAAATAAATATGGAGTTGGAGAGCCACTGGAATCAGAGCCTGTGCTTGCAGTAAATCCTTATGGACCCCCTGATCCACCCAAAAACCCTGAAGTTACAGCTATTACTAAAGATTCAATGGTTGTCTGCTGGGGACATCCTGACTCTGATGGTGGAAGTGAAATCATCAATTATATTGTAGAACGGCGTGATAAAGCTGGACAACGCTGGGTGAAATGCAACAAGAAAACTCTTACTGATTTAAGATATAAAGTGTCTGGACTGACAGAAGGACATGAATATGAGTTCAGGATTATGGCTGAAAATGCTGCTGGAATTAGCGCACCAAGTTCTACCAGTCCATTTTATAAAGCTTGTGATGCTGTGTTTAAGCCCGGCCCACCAGGTAACCCACGTGTTCTAGATACGAGCAGATCATCCATTTCAATTGCTTGGAATAAACCTATCTACGATGGCGGCTCAGAAATCACTGGGTATATTGTTGAGATTGCCCTGCCAGAGGAAGATGAATGGCAGATTGTCACTCCACCAGCTGGGCTCAAGGCAACCTCTTACACCATCACCAACCTCATAGAGAATCAGGAATATAAAATCCGCATCTATGCCATGAATTCTGAGGGAATGGGAGAACCTGCACTTGTTCCTGGAACTCCAAAGGCTGAAGACAGGATGCTGCCCCCAGAAATTGAACTGGATGCTGACCTGCGCAAAGTTGTTACTATAAGAGCTTGTTGTACCCTGCGACTTTTTGTTCCAATCAAAGGAAGGCCTGCACCTGAGGTGAAGTGGACCCGGGAACATGGAGAATCCTTAGATAAAGCTAGCATTGAATCCACAAGCTCTTACACCCTGCTCATTGTTGGAAATGTAAACAGATTTGACAGTGGCAAATACATACTAACTGTAGAAAACAGCTCAGGCAGCAAGTCTGCGTTTGTCAATGTTAGAGTACTAGATACGCCAGGCCCTCCACAGGATCTCAAGGTAAAGGAGGTCACTAAGTCGTCTGTCACATTGACATGGGAGCCTCCTCTCCTTGATGGAGGTTCAAAAATAAAGAACTATATTGTTGAAAAGAGGGAATCAACAAGAAAAGCATATTCAACTGTTGCAACAAATTGCCACAAGATGTCCTGGAAAGTAGACCAGCTTCAAGAAGGGTGTAGTTACTATTTCAGGGTTCTTGCTGAAAATGAATACGGCATCGGGCTGCCTGCTGAAACTGCAGAGTCTGTGAAAGCATCAGAACGACCCCTTCCTCCAGGAAAAATCACTTTGGTGGATGTCACCAGAAATAGCGTGTCACTCTCTTGGGAAAAACCAGAGCATGATGGAGGCAGCCGAATTCTAGGCTACATTGTTGAGATGCAGAGCAAAGGCAGTGACAAATGGGCCACATGTGCCACAGTCAAAGTCACTGAAGCCACTATAACTGGATTAATTCAGGGTGAAGAATATTCTTTCCGTGTTTCAGCTCAGAATGAAAAGGGCATCAGTGATCCCAGACAACTGAGTGTGCCAGTAATTGCCAAAGATCTTGTCATTCCACCAGCCTTCAAACTCCTGTTCAATACATTCACTGTACTGGCAGATGAAGACCTAAAAGTTGATGTTCCATTCATTGGACGTCCTACACCTGCTGTAACCTGGCATAAAGATGATGTACCACTGAAGCAGACAACTAGAGTAAATGCAGAGAGCACAGAAAATAATTCACTACTGACGATAAAGGAAGCCTGCCGAGAAGATGTGGGACATTACACAGTTAAACTGACCAACTCGGCTGGTGAAGCTACCGAAACCCTTAACATTATTGTTCTTGACAAACCAGGGCCTCCAACTGGACCAGTTAAAATAGAGGAAGTGACAGCTGATAGTATTACTCTTTCCTGGGGCCCACCTAAGTATGATGGTGGGAGTTCTATCAATAATTACATTGTAGAAAAACGGGACACTTCCACAACCACCTGGCAAATTGTGTCAGCGACTGTTGCAAGGACAACAATAAAGACTTGCAGATTAAAGACTGGATGTGAATATCAGTTTAGGATTGCAGCTGAAAACAGATATGGAAAGAGCACCTACCTCAATTCAGAGCCTATTATAGCCCAGTATCCATTCAAAGTTCCTGGTCCTCCTGGCACACCATTTGTGACGCTCTCCTCCAAGGACAGCATGGAAGTACAGTGGAATGAGCCAGTTAGTGATGGAGGTAGCAAAGTCATTGGCTATCATCTAGAACGCAAGGAGAGAAACAGTATCCTCTGGGTGAAGTTGAATAAAACACCCATTCCTCAAACCAAGTTTAAAACGACTGGCCTCGATGAAGGCATTGAATATGAATTTAGAGTCTCTGCAGAGAACATCGTGGGCATTGGCAAGCCAAGTAAGGTGTCAGAATGCTACATGGCTCGTGACCCATGTGATCCACCAGGGCGGCCAGAGGCAATTATTGTCACACGAAATTCTGTGACCCTCCAGTGGAAGAAACCCACTTATGATGGTGGAAGCAAGATCACTGGCTATATTGTAGAGAAGAAAGAATTGCCTGAGGGCCGCTGGATGAAAGCCAGTTTTACAAATGTCATTGACACTCAGTTTGAAGTAACTGGCCTAGTTGAAGATCATAGATATGAGTTCCGGGTTATAGCTCGAAATGCTGCAGGAGTGTTTAGCGAGCCTTCAGAAAGCACAGGAGCAATAACAGCAAGAGATGAGGTAGATCCACCACGAATAAGTATGGATCCAAAATACAAAGACACAATTGTGGTTCATGCTGGTGAGTCATTCAAGATTGATGCAGATGTTCATGGCAAACCAATACCGACCATTCAGTGGGTAAAAGGTGATAAGGAGCTTTCAGATACAGCTCGATTAGAAATAAAGAGCACTGACTTTGCCACCAGTCTCAGCATAAAGGATGCAGTACGCATTGACAGTGGAAATTACATATTGAAGGCCACAAATGTTGCAGGGGAGAGATCAGTTACTGTAAATGTCAAAGTTCTTGATAGACCAGGACCACCTGAGGGACCTGTTCTGGTATCAGGAGTGACAGCAGAAAAATGCACATTAGCTTGGAAACCCCCACTACAGGATGGTGGAAGTGACATCATAAATTATATTGTGGAGAGGAGAGAAACCAGCCGCTTAGTTTGGACTCTGATTGATGCCAATGTGCAAACTCTCAGCTGCAAGGTTACTAAGCTTCTCGAAGGCAATGAGTATATTTTCCGTATAATGGCTGTAAACAAATATGGTGTTGGTGAACCGCTTGAATCTGAGCCAGTGATTGCCAAGAATCCGTTTGTAGTGCCAGATGCACCAAAGGCTCCAGAAATCACAACAGTGACCAAGGACTCAATGATCGTTGTATGGGAAAGACCAGCATCTGATGGTGGCAGTGAAATTCTTGGATACGTTCTTGAAAAACGGGATAAGGAGGGCATTAGATGGACAAGATGCCACAAACGCCTAATTGGGGAATTGCGATTGAGAGTAACTGGACTCCTAGAAAATCACAATTATGAATTCAGAGTCTCAGCCGAAAATGCTGCTGGACTTAGTGAACCAAGCCCTCCTTCTGCTTACCAAAAGGCTTGTGATCCTATTTATAAACCAGGACCTCCAAACAATCCCAAAGTCATAGATATTACCAGATCTTCTGTCTTCCTTTCTTGGAGCAAACCAATATATGATGGTGGCTGTGAAATCCAAGGCTACATTGTTGAAAAATGTGACGTGAGTGTTGGTGAATGGACAATGTGCACACCACCAACTGGAATCAATAAAACAAATATAGAAATAGAAAAGCTGTTGGAAAAGCATGAATACAATTTCCGTATCTGTGCTGTTAATAAAGCTGGAGTTGGAGAACATGCTGATGTTCCTGGACCTATTATAGTTGAAGAAAAATTAGAAGCACCAGACATTGAACTTGACCTAGAACTAAGGAAAATTATAAATATAAGGGCAGGTGGCTCCTTAAGACTATTTGTTCCTATTAAAGGTCGTCCTACACCAGAAGTTAAATGGGGAAAGATGGATGGTGAAATCCGAGATGCAGCTATAATTGATGTCACCAGCAGTTTCACCTCTCTTGTTCTTGACAATGTCAACCGATATGATAGTGGAAAATATACTCTCACATTAGAAAACAGCAGTGGAACGAAGTCTGCCTTTGTTACCGTGAGAGTCCTGGACACACCAAGTCCTCCTGTTAACCTGAAAGTCACTGAAATCACTAAAGACTCAGTATCAATTACATGGGAACCTCCTCTGTTGGATGGGGGATCCAAAATAAAAAATTACATTGTTGAGAAACGTGAAGCCACAAGAAAATCATATGCTGCAGTGGTAACAAACTGCCATAAGAATTCTTGGAAGACTGATCAACTCCAAGAAGGCTGCAGTTATTACTTTAGAGTCACAGCTGAGAACGAGTACGGTATTGGCCTTCCTGCCCACACTGCTGATCCTATTAAGGTTGCAGAAGTCCCACAACCTCCAGGAAAAATAACTGTGGATGATGTCACCAGAAACAGTGTCTCCTTGAGTTGGACAAAGCCTGAACATGATGGTGGCAGTAAAATCATTCAGTATATTGTGGAAATGCAAGCTAAACACAGCGAGAAATGGTCAGAGTGTGCTCGAGTCAAGTCCCTTGAAGCGGTAATTACTAACCTAACTCAGGGAGAAGAATATCTCTTTAGAGTTGTTGCTGTAAATGAAAAGGGAAGAAGTGATCCTAGGTCCCTTGCAGTTCCAATAGTTGCCAAAGATCTGGTCATTGAGCCAGATGTAAGACCTGCATTCAACAATTACAGTGTACAGGTCGGCCAAGATTTGAAAATAGAAGTGCCAATTTCTGGACGTCCTAAGCCAACCATTACCTGGACTAAAGATGGTCTTCCACTGAAGCAGACCACAAGAGTCAATGTTACTGATTCACTTGACCTCACTGTGCTCAGCATTAAAGAAACTCATAAGGATGATGGTGGACATTATGGAATCATAGTGGCTAATGTTGTAGGTCAGAAAACAGCATCCATTGAAGTTACAACTCTAGATAAACCTGATCCTCCAAAAGGACCTGTTAAATTTGATGAAGTCAGTGCTGAAAGTATTACATTATCTTGGAATCCCCCATTATATACAGGGGGCTGCCAGATCACCAACTACATTGTTCAGAAAAGAGATACAACCACCACAGTATGGGATACTGTTTCTGCTACTGTTGCCAGAACCACACTCAAAGTGACCAAACTGAAAACTGGTACAGAATACCAATTCAGAATATTTGCTGAAAACAGATATGGACAAAGTTTTGCCTTGGAGTCTGATCCAATTGTAGCTCAATATCCCTACAAAGAACCAGGCCCTCCAGGCACACCATTTGTCACAGCCATTTCCAAAGACTCCATGGTCGTTCAGTGGCATGAACCAATCAATAACGGTGGAAGCCCAGTCATAGGTTACCACCTTGAGAGAAAGGAAAGAAATAGTATTTTGTGGACAAAAGTCAACAAAACCATTATTCATGACACTCAGTTTAAAGCAGTCAATCTTGAAGAGGGCATTGAATATGAATTCAGAGTTTATGCTGAAAATATTGTTGGTGTAGGTAAAGCAAGCAAGAATTCTGAATGCTACGTAGCCAGAGATCCTTGTGACCCACCAGGAACCCCAGAGGCAATAATGGTTAAAAGAAACGAAATCACTTTACAGTGGACCAAACCTGCTTATGATGGTGGAAGTATGATTACAGGCTACATTGTAGAGAAACGTGATTTGCCTGAGGGTCGCTGGATGAAAGCCAGCTTCACAAATGTCATTGAAACTCAATTTACCGTGTCTGGTCTTACTGAAGATCAAAGATACGAGTTCAGAGTCATTGCAAAGAATGCAGCTGGTGTTGTAAGTAAACCCTCTGACAGTACTGGACCAATAACGGCCAGGGATGAGGTTGAACTTCCAAGAATTTCAATGGATCCAAAATTCAGAGACACAATTGTGGTAAATGCTGGAGAAACATTCAGGCTTGAGGCTGATGTCCATGGAAAGCCTCTACCGACCATTGAGTGGTTACGAGGAGATAAGGAAATTGAAGAATCTGCCAGATGTGAAATAAAGAACACAGATTTCAAGGCTTTACTTATTGTAAAGGATGCCATTAGAATTGATGGTGGACAGTATATTTTAAGAGCTTCCAATGTTGCAGGTTCTAAGTCATTCCCAGTAAATGTAAAAGTGTTGGATAGACCAGGACCACCAGAAGGGCCAGTTCAGGTTACCGGAGTCACTTCTGAAAAATGCACTTTAACATGGTCTCCACCACTTCAAGATGGTGGCAGTGATATTTCCCACTATGTTGTTGAAAAGAGAGAAACGAGTCGACTTGCCTGGACTGTTGTTGCTTCAGAAGTTGTGACCAATTCTCTGAAAGTTACCAAACTCTTAGAAGGGAATGAATATATTTTCCGCATAATGGCTGTCAACAAATACGGTGTTGGAGAGCCTTTGGAATCTGCACCAGTACTGATGAAAAATCCGTTTGTGCTTCCTGGACCACCAAAAAGCTTGGAAGTCACCAACATTGCCAAGGACTCCATGACTGTCTGTTGGAACCGTCCAGATAGTGACGGTGGAAGTGAGATTATCGGTTACATTGTAGAGAAAAGAGACAGAAGTGGCATTAGGTGGATAAAATGTAATAAACGCCGCATTACAGATTTGCGTCTAAGAGTAACAGGATTAACAGAAGATCATGAGTACGAATTCAGAGTCTCTGCAGAAAATGCTGCTGGAGTTGGAGAACCAAGTCCAGCTACAGTTTATTATAAGGCTTGTGATCCTGTGTTTAAACCTGGCCCACCCACCAATGCACACATTGTAGACACTACTAAAAATTCAATTACACTTGCCTGGGGTAAGCCCATCTATGATGGTGGCAGTGAGATCCTAGGATATGTAGTAGAAATCTGTAAAGCGGATGAAGAAGAATGGCAAATAGTTACTCCACAGACTGGCCTGGGAGCCACTCGATTTGAAATTTCAAAACTCACTGAGCACCAAGAGTACAAAATACGAGTCTCTGCCCTCAATAAAGCTGGCTTAGGTGAGGCTACATCAATTCCTGGTGCTGTGAAACCAGAAGATAAACTTGAAGCACCTGAACTTGACCTTGACTCTGAATTAAGGAAAGGAATAGTTGTAAGAGCTGGTGGATCTGCCAGAATTCACATTCCGTTCAAAGGTCGCCCAACACCTGACATCACCTGGTCTCGAGAGGAAGGTGAATTCACAGATAAGGTCCAAATTGAAAAGGGAGTAAACTACACTCAACTATCAATAGATAACTGTGATAGAAATGATGCTGGAAAATACATTCTCAAGCTGGAAAACAGCAGTGGATCTAAATCTGCTTTTGTAACTGTGAAAGTTCTTGACACCCCAGGACCGCCACAGAATTTGGCAGTCAACGAAGTGAAAAAAGATTCTGTCCTGCTGGTATGGGAACCACCCATCACTGATGGGGGTTCAAAAGTGAAGAACTATGTTATTGACAAACGTGAGTCAACCAGAAAAGCATATGCTAACGTGAGTAATAAATGCAGCAAAACAAGCTTTAAAGTTGAGAATCTTACAGAAGGAGCCATTTACTACTTTAGAGTTATGGCTGAAAATGAATTTGGAGTTGGTGTTCCAGTAGAAACCACTGATGCTGTGAAAGCCGCTGAACCTCCTTCCCCACCAGGAAAAGTGACACTCACTGACGTGTCCCAGACCAGCGCATCGCTGATGTGGGAGAAACCTGAACATGATGGTGGCAGCAGAGTCTTGGGTTATGTTGTTGAAATGCAGCCCAAAGGAACTGAAAAATGGAGTGTTGTGGCCGAATCCAAAGTCTGTAATGCAGTGGTTACTGGTTTGAGTTCTGGACAAGAATATCAGTTCTGTGTCAAGGCTTACAACGAGAAAGGAAAAAGCGATCCAAGAGTGCTTGGTGTTCCCGTCATAGCCAAGGACTTGACCATACAGCCTAGTTTTAAGTTACCATTTAACACATATACCGTCCAAGCTGGAGAAGATCTTAAAATTGAAATTCCAGTTATTGGCCGACCAAGACCTAACATTTCATGGGTCAAAGATGGTGAGCCTCTTAAACAGACAACAAGAGTAAATGTTGAGGAAACAGCCACTTCAACAATTCTGCAAGTTAAAGACAGTAATAAAGATGACTTTGGAAAATACACTATAACAGCAACAAATAGTGCAGGTACAGCCACAGAAAATCTCAGCATCATTGTTTTGGAAAAGCCCGGACCTCCCGTTGGACCAGTTCGGTTTGACGAAGTTAGTGCAGACTTTGTGGTCATCTCTTGGGAAACTCCAGCCTATACTGGCGGCTGCCAGATAAGCAACTACATTGTAGAGAAGCGAGATACAACTACCACCACTTGGCATATGGTATCAGCAACAGTTGCGAGAACAACAATTAAAGTAACCAAACTGAAAACAGGCACTGAGTACCAGTTTAGAATTTTTGCAGAAAACAGGTATGGAAAGAGCTCACCTCTGGATTCTAAACCAGTTATTGTACAATATCCATTTAAAGAACCTGGGCCACCTGGAACTCCTTTTGTGACATCCATTTCAAAAGATCAGATGATTGTGCAGTGGCATGAGCCAGTTCATGATGGAGGAAGCAAAGTTATTGGCTACCATCTTGAACAGAAAGAAAAGAACAGCATCTTATGGGTCAAATTAAATAAGACTCCCATTCAAGACACCAAATTCAAAACAACTGGGCTTGATGAGGGCCTTGAGTATGAGTTCAAAGTTTCTGCTGAAAATATTGTTGGCATTGGCAAGCCTAGCAAAGTGTCAGAATGCTTTGTTGCTCGTGATCCATGCGACCCACCTGGTCGCCCCGAAGCCATTGTTATCACAAGAAACAACATTACACTGAAATGGAAGAAACCTGCCTATGATGGTGGTAGCAAAATAACAGGTTATATTGTAGAAAAGAAAGATCTACCTGATGGCCGCTGGATGAAAGCCAGCTTCACCAATGTATTAGAAACCGAATTTACGGTGAGTGGACTTGTAGAAGACCAAAGATATGAATTTAGGGTAATTGCAAGAAATGCAGCTGGCAACCTCAGTGAACCATCTGAAAGCACTGGTGCCATTACTGCCAGAGATGAAACTGATGCACCAAATGCCTCACTGGATCCAAAATATAAAGATATAATCCTTGTTCGTGCAGGAGAGACTTTTGTCCTTGAAGCTGATATCCACGGCAAGCCTATACCTGATATTGTTTGGTCAAAAGATGGAAAAGAGCTTGAAGAAACAACTGCTAGGATGGAAATTAAGTCTACTATTCAGAAAACTACTCTTGTTGTCAAAGACTGTATACGTACTGATGGAGGACAGTATATTCTGAAACTCAGCAATGTCGGTGGTACAAAGTCCATACCAATCACTGTAAAGGTACTTGACAGGCCAGGGCCCCCTGAAGGACCTCTGAAGGTTTCTGGAGTTACTGCTGAGAAATGTTACCTGGCATGGAACCCACCTTTACAGGATGGTGGTGCTAATATCTCACATTACATCATTGAAAAGAGAGAAACAAGCAGACTCTCCTGGACCCAGGTTTCAACTGAGGTACAGGCGCTTAACTACAAAGTCACTAAACTTCTTCCTGGTAACGAGTACATTTTCCGCGTCATGGCTGTGAATAAATATGGAATTGGAGAGCCCTTGGAATCTGAGCCTGTTATAGCCTGTAATCCGTATAAGCCACCAGGTCCTCCTTCACCACCTGAAGCCTCAGCAATCACCAGAGATTCTATGGTAGTAACATGGGCACGCCCTGTGGATGATGGAGGAGCAGAAATTGAGGGCTACATTCTTGAAAAACGAGATAAGGAAGGCATTAGATGGACGAAGTGCAACAAGAAAACTCTAACAGATCTCCGATTCAGAGTAACTGGCCTTACCGAAGGTCATTCCTATGAGTTCAGAGTTGCTGCCGAAAATGCAGCTGGTGTGGGTGAACCTAGTGAGCCATCTGTCTTCTATCGTGCATGTGATGCCTTGTATCCACCAGGTCCACCAAGTAATCCAAAAGTGACAGATACTTCCAGGTCTTCTGTCTCCCTAGCGTGGAATAAGCCAATTTATGATGGTGGTGCACCTATTAAGGGCTATGTGGTGGAGGTCAAGGAAGCCGCTGCTGATGAATGGACAACCTGCACTCCACCGACAGGATTACAAGGAAAGCAGTTCACAGTGACCAAGCTTAAAGAAAATACTGAGTATAACTTCCGTATTTGTGCCATCAATTCTGAAGGTGTAAGTGAACCTGCAACTATACCTGGCTCAGTTGTTGCTAAAGAGAGGCTAGAGCCACCAGAAATAGAACTTGATGCTGATCTCAGAAAGGTGGTTGTTCTGCGGGCAAGTGCTACTTTACGCTTATTTGTCACAATCAAAGGGCGACCGGAACCTGAAGTTAAATGGGAAAAGGCCGAAGGCACTCTCACAGAGAGGGCCCAGATCGAGGTGACCAGCTCCTACACAATGTTGGTAATTGATAATGTTACCAGATTTGATAGCGGTCGGTATAATCTGACCCTAGAAAATAACAGTGGCTCCAAAACAGCTTTTGTTAATGTCAGAGTTCTTGACTCACCAAGCGCCCCTGTGAATTTGAATGTAAGAGAAGTAAAGAAAGACTCGGTGACATTATCTTGGGAGCCCCCTCTTATTGATGGTGGAGCTAAGATTACAAACTACATTGTTGAAAAACGAGAAACTACAAGAAAAGCATATGCTACTGTTACAAACAATTGCACGAAGAATACTTTTAAAATTGAAAATCTGCAAGAGGGATGTTCTTACTACTTCCGAGTCTTGGCTTCCAATGAATATGGGATTGGTTTGCCAGCTGAAACGACTGAACCCGTTAAAGTTTCTGAACCACCCCTCCCACCCGGCAGAGTGACTCTTGTTGATGTGACCCGTAACACAGCTACAATTAAGTGGGAGAAGCCAGAAAGTGATGGTGGCAGCAAAATTACTGGTTATGTAGTTGAAATGCAGACGAAAGGGAGTGAAAAATGGAGCACTTGCACACAAGTTAAGACTCTAGAAGCGACTATATCTGGCCTAACTGCGGGAGAAGAGTATACCTTCAGGGTAGCTGCAGTCAATGAAAAAGGAAGGAGTGATCCAAGACAACTTGGAGTGCCGGTAATTGCAAGAGATATTGAAATAAAGCCCTCCGTCGAGCTTCCTTTCAATACTTTCAACGTAAAGGCTAGAGACCAACTTAAGATTGATGTCCCATTTAAAGGAAGACCTCAAGCTACTATAAGCTGGAAAAAGGATGGTCAGATTCTTAAAGAGACCACAAGAGTCAATGTTTCTTCTTCAAAGACTGTAACGTCACTATCTATTAAGGAAGCTTCCAGGGAAGATGTTGGAACTTATGAATTATGTGTTTCGAATAGTGCTGGATCCATAACAGTTCCTATAACTGTAATTGTCCTTGACAAACCAGGGCCTCCGGGACCTGTTCATATTGATGAGGTTAGTTGTGACAATGTAACAATTTCCTGGAGTCCTCCAGAATATGACGGTGGCTGCCAAATTAGCAATTACATTGTTGAAAAGAGAGAAACCACTTCTACCACATGGCATGTAGTTTCACAGGCAGTTGCAAGAACATCCATTAAGATAGTTCGTCTGACAACAGGAAGTGAGTATCAGTTCCGTGTTTGTGCAGAAAACCGCTATGGCAAGAGCTCCTACAGTGAATCTAAACCTGTTGTTGCGGAGTATCCATTCAGCCCCCCAGGTCCTCCTGGTACTCCTAAAGTTGTGCATGCCACAAAATCTACCATGATTGTAAGCTGGCAAGTGCCAGTTAATGATGGAGGAAGTCAAGTAATTGGCTATCACCTTGAATACAAAGAGAGAAGCAGCATTCTTTGGTCAAAAGCAAATAAAATCCTCATCGCTGATACTCAAATGAAAGTCTCCGGCCTTGATGAAGGACTGATGTATGAGTATCGTGTATATGCTGAGAACATTGCTGGAATTGGTAAATGCAGTAAATCTTGTGAACCAGTCCCTGCAAGAGATCCCTGTGACCCTCCTGGACAACCTGAAGTCACCAATATCACAAGAAAATCAGTGTCACTTAAATGGTCCAAACCACATTACGATGGTGGAGCTAAGATCACAGGTTACATTATCGAACGTAGAGAACTACCAGATGGCCGGTGGCTGAAGTGCAATTTTACGAACGTACAAGAAACATACTTTGAAGTAACTGAACTTACCGAAGATCAGCGTTATGAATTCCGGGTTTTTGCAAAGAATGCAGCTGATTCAGTTAGTGAACCATCTGAATCCACTGGGCCTATTACAGTTAAAGACGATGTCGAGGCTCCAAGAATTATGATGGATGTCAAGTTCCAAGGTGTTATTGTTGTCAAAGCTGGAGAGGTCCTTAAGATAAATGCAGACATTGCAGGGCGACCTCTGCCAGTAATTTCCTGGGCCAAGGATGGGGTAGAAATTGAAGAAAGAGCAAGAACAGAAATTGTCTCGACAGACTATAATACTTTGTTAACAGTGAAAGACTGTGTCCGACGAGACACTGGGCAGTATGTACTAACACTGAAGAATGTTGCAGGAACTCGGTCCATGGCAGTTAACTGCAAGGTACTTGATAAGCCTGGCCCACCAGCAGGACCACTTGAAATAAATGGCCTCACAGCTGAGAAATGCTCGCTTTCCTGGGGACCGCCCCAAGAAAATGGTGGCGCAGATATCGACTATTACATTGTAGAAAAACGTGAAACAAGCCACCTCGCATGGACAATGTGTGAAGGAGAATTAAGGACAACATCCTGTAAAGTAACCAAGTTACTCAAAGGCAACGAATATATCTTTAGGGTAACAGGTGTTAATAAATACGGTGTTGGTGAGCCCCTGGAGAGTATGGCAGTAAAAGCACTAGATCCATTTACAGTTCCAAGTCCACCTACATCTTTGGAAATTACATCTGTGACCAAAGAGTCCATGACCCTTTGCTGGTTGAGACCAGAGAGTGATGGGGGCAGTGACATCTCTGGATATATAATTGAAAGGCGAGAGAAAAACAGCCTACGATGGGTGCGTGTAAACAAAAAACCAGTTTATGACCTGAGAGTGAAATCAACCGGACTTCGGGAAGGATGTGAATACGAGTACCGGGTTTACGCAGAAAATGCTGCTGGCCTGAGCCTTCCAAGTGAAACCTCTCCCTTGATTCGGGCAGAAGATCCAGTGTTCTTGCCATCTCCTCCATCCAAACCCAAAATTGTGGACTCAGGCAAGACAAACATAACCATTAGCTGGGTTAAGCCCTTGTTTGATGGCGGGGCCCCAGTAACTGGATACACTGTAGAATACAAGAAATCTGATGAAACTGAGTGGGAGACTGCCATTCAGAACTTAAGAGGCACAGAATATACCATCGGTGGACTAACAACAGGAGCCGAGTATGTTTTCAGAGTAAGATCTGTCAATAAGGTTGGTGCTAGTGATCCCAGTGATAGCTCTGATCCCCAAGTAGCAAAAGAAAGAGAAGAAGAACCTGTATTTGATCTTGACAGTGAAATGAAGAAGACCTTGATTGTCAGGGCTGGTGCCTCATTTACCATGACCGTACCTTTCCGGGGAAGACCAGTACCTAGTGTCTTGTGGAGTAAGCCAGACAGTGACCTCCTCGCTAGAGCTTACATTGATTCCACAGACTCTCGTACATCACTTACTATTGAAAATGCCAACAGAAGTGATTCTGGAAAATACACAGTAACAATTCAGAATATTGTGAATGCTGCTTCACTGACCTTAGTTGTCAAAGTTTTAGATTCTCCTGGTCCTCCAACCAATATTACTGCACATGATATAACCAAAGAGACTGCAGTGTTATCCTGGGATGTTCCTGAAAACGATGGCGGAGCACCAGTGAGGAATTACCATGTAGAAAAACGTGAGGCCAGTATGAAAGCATGGGTCTCTGTGACCAACAACTGTAACCGCCTCTCCTACAAAATCACCAACTTACAAGAAGGGGCAATTTACTACTTCCGAGTCTCTGGAGAGAATGAGTTTGGTGTTGGTGTACCAGCTGAAACAAAGGAAGGAGTAAAAATAACAGGTATGTTTTAAGAACAAAGAACATCTATATATCTATACTAATTTTCCTAGAATACTATGAATCACTCTTAATTAGTCTCACTTAATTTTAAAGACTTTTGGTTCACACCTCAAATAATTCATACTATAGCACAACATGAAATCTCTAATAGAGAAAGTTCTTTGTTGATTAAAAAAATGCGGAAATTTACATAGCTGGAATTAGATCATATATGTTGAATTTAAATATAACTGAATTTGACTGCATATATGTACAGTGTGTATGTGCAGAAATTGTATGATTAAGTTTCTTATTAGATTGTTCATCTTATTCTTCACTTTTATACCCATGATAAATTTGGGATAAATTTTACCATTTAATCTAGTCACTTGACACTTAATTTGAATTTGGATGCTATGACATACTATGACATGTAATGACAAAGCTTGGGGAAGCTTCGCTTAGCTCAGAAGCCAAACTAGTTATATAAAAAGTAGGAGAGACTCAAATCAAAGGAAGTATGTTTCCATCATTTAAAAGTTTTCTTTGACAATGCAGAAAGAACACACAGGGGAAAAAAATGTAATAATCCCTTTCTTCTGATGTTTTACTTTCTTAGAAAAACCAAGCCCACCCGAAAAACTTGGAGTAACAGGTATATCCAGAGATAGTGTTTCCCTGACCTGGTTGAAGCCAGAACACGATGGTGGAAGCAGAATTGTACACTATGTCGTTGAAGCACTAGAAAAGGGACAGAAAAATTGGGTTAGATGTGCGGTGGTAAAGTCAACCCATCACATTGTTTCTGCTCTGAGGGAGAATTCTGAATACTTTTTCCGGGTGTTTGCTGAAAATCAAGCTGGTCTGAGTGACCCAAGAGAGCTTCTGCTTCCTGTTCTTATTAAGGAACAACTAGGTATGTCAAATTTTATCTAGAAGCAAAATTTGAGATGGTTTGTACTGATGTAATTTTTAGAGACTCTTTTTCACCTTCATCTACCATATTCTTATTTTTCAGAACCACCTGAAATTGATATGAAGAATTTCCCAAGTCATACTGTTTATGTGAGAGCTGGTTCAAACCTTAAAGTTGACATTCCAATTTCTGGAAAACCACTGCCCAAAGTGACCTTAACAAGAGATGGTGTCCCCCTAAAGGCAACCATGAGATTTAATACTGAAGTTACTGCTGAGAACCTGACCATCAATCTCAAAGAAAGTGTTACCACTGATGCTGGAAGATACGAGATCACTGCTGCCAACTCCAGTGGAACAACCAAAGCTTTCATTAACATCATTGTACTGGACAGGCCTGGTCCCCCAACTGGCCCTGTTGTGATTAGTGATATAACAGAAGAAAGCGTGACTCTCAAATGGGAGCCACCAAAGTATGATGGCGGAAGTCAAGTTACTAATTACATTGTACTCAAGAGAGAGACAAGTACTGCAGTATGGACTGAAGTGTCTACAACAGTTGCAAGAACCATGATTAAAATCATGAAACTTACCACAGGAGAAGAATACCAATTCCGCATCAAGGCAGAAAACCGCTTCGGCATCAGTGATCACATAGATTCAGCATGTGTGGTTGTCAAACTACCATACAGTAAGTTGCAAACTTTTTAAAGATCCCAGGTTCTCATTTACATAAATGTTTTAAGTGTCTGTATTAACCTAAGGGATTTCTCTCTTTTGTAGCAACACCTGGACCACCATCTACACCATGGGTCACTAACGTTACTCGAGAAAGCATCACTGTGGGCTGGCATGAACCAGTGTCCAATGGAGGCAGTCCAGTTATAGGCTATCACCTGGAAATGAAAGACAGAAACAGTATTTTATGGCAAAAAACCAACAAATTGGTCATCCGCACAACTCACTTCAAAGTCACAACAATCAGTGCTGGACTTATTTATGAATTCAGGGTATATGCAGAAAATGCTGCTGGTGTTGGAAAACCCAGCCATCCTTCTGAACCAGTCCTAGCCATTGATGCCTGTGGTATGTATTTTTCATGAGGAGGAGGATTCAGACTACTTAAAAAATGCAAAATCTTATTTCTGCAAAACAAAATAATGTTGACACAAGTTCCACTGACCTGCTTTCTCTTATTACCACAGAGCCTCCAAGAAACGTCCGTATCACTGATATTTCAAAGAACTCTGTCAGCCTTTCATGGCAACAACCAGCTTTCGATGGAGGAAGCAAGATTACAGGCTACATTGTTGAGAGACGAGACCTTCCGGATGGCAGATGGACCAAGGCCAGCTTCACCAATGTTATCGAGACTCAATTCGTCGTCTCTGGCTTAACTCAGAATTCTCAGTATGAATTCCGTGTCTTTGCTAGGAATGCCGTTGGTTCAGTCAGCAATCCATCTGAGGTTGTAGGGCCCATTACATGCATTGATTCTTATGGTAAGCATTTTTAGAACGTTGAATCCCAACAGCAATTTAACCCAATATTTTTCCGTACTTTTTCTGGTCCTAATCTATAGAATATCTTTTACTATACACCTTAATTAGATATTTAGAAGAAAGTATATGAACCAGCTGGGAGTCTCAGGAGAATTCTTTAATCTCTCCTGGTCTCTTAACTGTAAAATGTGAGATTTGGACTACAGGATATCTAAAGTCCCTTCCAAATTCAACCTTTTAGAATTCTTTGATTGTATGAGTTGGTGCTTTCCCTTTTCTATTTTAAACTATCAGAGTCAATAATTAAAACCATGGTTGAATGCCCAGAGAATATTCCTCTTAAATAACTAAAAGACCAAAGAGAGGCATTAATGATGATAGTATTAGCAGTAGCTAACATTTACTGGGTATTTTTCATGAATTCTCTCCCTTAATTCTAACAACCCTAACATTAGCCCATTTTATAGAACAGAAACTGAGGTTTAGAGTGCTTATGTAACTTCCCTAATATGGAGCAGCTCATTGGTGTAGAGTGGGAATTCAAAAAGACTCTAGAACTCTCTCTACGTTGTTGTCATCCTAACACACACATACTTGGCCATTCTGGAAAATCAGGAACACATTCAACTCAACAGTGGTTTCAAAATTAAAATTTCATGAGGGTCAGGTACCCAGTAACACATTCTCTAAAAGTTCCCTGTGTTGAAGGAGTCTCTCTGATATTGGGCAAAAGTATCCACTCCTGTCCTCATGCTCAGAATCCCAGGGCTGCTCTTTATGAATCAGGCTTTGTGGACACTGTTGTAAGACTGTGAAGCAAGTCAAACTTAGTTCTGTATCTCAAAAGTTCTAAGCAGCCTGGCAGAAAATCTGTCCAGTGAAATACAGAGCTCTGTGAGTAAAGAATTCAGACTTCAAGGGTCAGACTTCATGTCTGAATTCAGACTTCATGTCGGCCTACAGTTGGATGTCAGTGAACTGGGAAGGGAAAATAACAAGAATAGGAGGTAGTCAGAGGAAAAGAAAGGAGAACCTAGAAGGAGAGAAAATGTATAATGCAGCTTCTTCAGGGTGTTCTCACTACCATATCCCATTTTGTCCCTGGAATTAAACACCTGATAGACTTTAAAATACATTTCAAAGGCATTGAAGTCCCTGTGTGATTACTGCAGTGTTACTGGAGGACAGAGCTTCCTCACAACCTTTTTTCCCCATCTGGGATAAAAGCGTGGCTTGTAAAATTTAAAGTTTAAATAGTAAGTAAATAAAATTAGAACCACTATATACATATATATTACTTAATAAAAGCCAGTGACCTTACTTTGAAGTTGCAATTATTTTTTCCATCCTTGTGGTCTTTTAAATATTTCTCATCTGTTTTTCCTACAGGTGGACCCGTAATTGATTTGCCTCTAGAATATACAGAAGTTGTCAAATACAGAGCAGGTACATCTGTGAAGCTCAGAGCTGGCATTTCTGGCAAACCTGCGCCTACAATTGAGTGGTATAAAGATGATAAAGAGTTACAAACCAGCACACTGGTGTGTGTCGAAAATACCACCGACCTTGCATCTATACTCATCAAAGATGCAAGTCGCCTGAATAGTGGAAGCTATGAACTAAAACTAAGGAACGCCATGGGCTCAGCCTCAGCCACCATCAGAGTACAGATCCTTGGTAGGTGCTGATTATAGGCCGTCATATTTTGTTTGCCTAAAACTTAGCAATTTTAAATTAGTAGCCTCTTAAAAAGTACTGACATATTGTTTTATTCTTTCGTTCACAGACAAACCAGGACCTCCAGGTGGTCCCCTTGAATTTAAGACCGTCACTGCTGAAAAAATAACCCTTCTCTGGCACCCTCCAGCGGATGATGGTGGTGCAAAAATCACTCACTACATCGTGGAAAAACGTGAGACAAGCCGCGTAGTATGGTCTATGGTGTCTGAAAATTTGGAAGAGTGCATCATAACCACCACCAAAATTATCAAAGGAAATGAATACATCTTCCGGGTTCGAGCCGTGAACAAATATGGAATTGGTGATCCACTGGAATCTGATCCAGTGGTAGCAAAGAATGCCTTTGGTGAGACATGACTTCATTAGGAAACTGAAATCAAATGCTTGAAATTTTTCAAATGAACTATTCTGCTAGCTTCTATGTTTTCTTAGAATGATTTTCTTAGAATGTTTTCTTTTGTCTCACATCTCCCCTCGCTGTCCTCTTTGTCACAAGGGAAAGGATAGTCAGTGAAACTAATATTCTTACATAGGATTTGAAGATTGAAAAGTAGAATTTATCAATGATGTCGATCCTTCAAACTCATTTTCCTTCTCCTTTCTAAATAGTTACTCCTGGGCCTCCAGGCGTACCGGAGGTGACCAAGATTACCAAGAATTCAATGACTGTTGTCTGGAGCAGGCCAGTTGCAGATGGTGGTAGTGAAGTAAGTGGCTACTACCTTGAGAAAAGAGACAAGAAGAGCCTGGGATGGTTTAAAGTCTTAAAGGAGACTATCCGTGACACCAGAGAGAAAGTGACCGGCCTAACGGAAAACAGTGACTACCAATACCGAGTTTGCGCTGTAAATGCTGCTGGTCAGGGTCCATTTTCTGAACCGTCTGACTTCTACAAAGCTGCTGATCCTATCGGTAAGTGCTCATAAATGCAGCATCTTCACCTATGTCTCCTTCATGTCCCTCAATTGTACATGATCGTGTAATTACTGTATTCTGAATGGTCATTCCAGACCCTCCAGGCCCACCAGCTAAGATAAGAATAGCAGATTCAACGAAATCCTCCATCACTCTTGGCTGGAGTAAACCCGTCTATGACGGAGGCAGTGCTGTTACTGGATATGTTGTCGCGATGAGACAAGGAGAGGAAGAGGGATGGACTGTTGTCTCTACCAAGGGAGAGGTCAGAACTACAGAATATGTGGTATCAAACCTCACACCTGGAGTCAACTACTACTTCCAGGTATCTGCTGTAAACTGTGCTGGACAAGGAGAACCTATAGAAATGACTGAACCTGTACAAGCTAAAGATATACTTGGTATGTTCCTACCGGTATGGTTGTGTTTTGTTTTGTTTTGTTTTTTTATGAGAGTGCTTCTTAGGAAATCATTCATTTTCTTGCTTTAAAATTCAAAATATATGTCCATTTTATGTCTACAGAGGAACCAGAGATCGACCTCGATGTGGCTCTCAGAACCTCTGTTATAGCTAAAGCTGGTGAAGATGTACAAGTGTTGATTCCCTTTAAAGGCCGACCTCCACCTACTGTAACATGGAGAAAAGATGAGAAGAATCTCGGCAGTGATGCCAGATACAACATTCAAAATACTGATTCATCTTCGTTACTCATGATTCCTCAAGTCACTCGCAATGATACAGGAAAATACATTCTCACAATAGAAAACGGTGTTGGTCAACCAAAGTCTTTGACTGTGAGTGTTAAGGTGCTTGATACGCCAGCTGCCTGCCAGAAACTACAGGTGAAACATGTTTCTCGAGGCACAGTCACTTTGTTCTGGGATCCTCCTCTCATTGATGGAGGATCTCCCATAATTAATTATGTCATTGAAAAGAGAGATGCCACCAAGAGAACATGGTCTTCAGTGTCACACAAATGTACCGGTACATCCTTTAAGATAACAGATTTGTCAGAGAAAACTCCATTCTTCTTTAGAGTTCTTGCAGAAAATGAAATTGGAATTGGGGAACCCTGTGAAACTACAGAGCCAGTGAAGCCTGCTGAAGTCCCGGCTCCTATCCGTGATCTGTCAGTGAAAGACTCAACAAAGACTTCTGTTACCCTGAGCTGGACCAAGCCTGACTTTGATGGTGGTAGCGTCATCACAGAATATATTGTGGAAAGGAAAGGTAAAGGTGAAAAAACATGGTCACATGCTGGCACAAGTAAGACCTGTGAAATTGAAGTTAGCCAACTTAAGGAACAGTCAGTCCTGGAATTCAGAGTGTCTGCCAAAAATGAGAAAGGACTGAGTGATGCTGTCACTATTGGGCCAATTACAGTGAAAGAACTTGTAATTACACCTGAAGCTGACCTGTCAGATATCCCAGAGGCAAAAGTCGCTGTGAGAATTGGGCATAATGTGCACCTTGAATTACCTTATAAAGGAAAACCCAAACCATCTATCAGTTGGCTGAAAGATGGTTTGCCATTGAAAGAAAGCGAGTATGTTCGTTTCAGTAAAACCGAAAACAAAATTACTTTGAGTATTAAGAATGTCAAGAAAGAGAATGGAGGGAAATACACCCTTATTCTCGATAATGCAGTTTGTAGAAACTCATATCCCATTACAATCATCACCCTTGGCCCACCATCAAAGCCCAAAGGGCCCATTCGATTTGATGAAATCAAGGCTGACAGTGTCATCACGTCATGGGACATGCCTGAAGATGATGGAGGAGGAGAAATTACCTGTTACAGCATTGAGAAGCGGGAAGCTTCACAAACTAATTGGAAGATGGTGTGTTCAAGTGTTGCCAGGACAACTTTCAAAGTTCCTAATCTAGTCAAAGATGCTGAATACCAGTTTAGGGTTAGGGCAGAAAATAGATACGGAGTCAGCCAGCCGCTTGTCTCAAACATTATTGTGGCAAAACACCAGTTCAGGATTCCTGGCCCCCCAGGAAAGCCAGTTGTATACAATGTGACTTCTGATGGCATGTCACTAACTTGGGATGCTCCAGTTTATGATGGTGGTTCAGAAGTTACTGGATTCCACGTTGAAAAGAAAGAGAGAAATAGCATCCTCTGGCAAAGAATTAATACATCACCAATATCTGGAAGAGAATATAGAGCTACTGGACTAATGGAAGGCCTAGATTACCAGTTCCGTGTATATGCTGAAAATTCTGCTGGCCTAAGCTCGCCCAGTGACCCAAGCAAATTTACTTTAGCTGTTTCTCCAGTAGGTAAGTAACTGAGTATTATTCTAATATATTTAATTCAGCAACTGAATTTCTTACTAACAAGTAAATCAAACACAGCTTTTCTTCCACATATCGCCTTCTCACCTGCCTTCTGTCTACTACAGAGCTGGTCAAGTAAAGCAAAGGGGATGATTTTAAGTCAGTCTAATAAAGTAATTTAAAGTTCTTTTTAAAGCTTAGCTACAAAGAAAAAATTGAAATTAAAATGAGCTCAGGGGATTTATTCATTTTTTCCTTCCACTGTGAAGGAGCTGATGACAGAAATGGATTACAGAAATGATACTGTTAATTTCCATATAATTTTTTAGACCCACCTGGCACTCCTGACTACATTGACGTCACCCGGGAAACCATCACACTTAAATGGAACCCACCATTGAGGGATGGAGGCAGTAAGATTGTGGCCTACAGCATTGAGAAACGGCAAGGGAGTGATCGTTGGGTCAGATGCAACTTTACTGATGTCAGTGAATGTCAGTACACAGTCACGGGACTTAGTCCTGGGGATCGATATGAGTTCAGAATAATTGCAAGAAATGCCATTGGTACTATAAGTCCGCCCTCGCAGTCTTCTGGCGTTATCATGACAAGAGACGAAAACGGTAAGCATTTACAACTGATCTCCGAATATGCTTAAAAGCATTCACATTTTTTAAAGATCCTTTAGGCCCCTATTCTGTAAAAGGGGAACAGGAACAGCATTTCATACAGATTACCCAGGGTTGTTATGTGGATGAATTAGATTTTCTACCTTTCAGATAAAAAGAAGAAAAATAAAAGCTAATTGGCATCAATTCTTTTTACCATGGCTATCGTCTCACTCTGTTCCCATATAAATAGCATGCAAATGGGAATGAGGTTTTTAGTTTTGTAATTCCAGTCATTTATAATAAAGAAAAACACTCTCAAGAATAACTGTCCAGCTTTACTGAAGTTAGTAAAATACAACATACACCCAGTGTTACAGTCATCACCTTGCTTGAGTGCAACTGATGACCTCTTACAGGAACTTGTTTGAATATACAACAGCTTTAGGAAGGAAATGATTTATAAATGTTTTCTTCTTACAAATGGCAATGCGAGATTAATAACAGACATAAAAAGGGAATAACCTGATAGCACGCAGATGTTCAGCCCCGTAATCTAAATTCTCAATTATCCATCCTGCTTTCACAGTAGCCTTTGGTAACACAGGATAAACATTACCCTTCCAAGCTTTAGGATATGGTGCTAATGTAAAACATGCTTATGTTTTTATTTAGCCAAACTAATGCATAGTATTTCTATTTCTTTTATAGTTCCACCAACTGTAGAGTTTGGCCCTGAGTACTTTGATGGTCTCATTATTAAGTCTGGAGAGAGCCTTAGGATTAAAGCTTTGGTGCAGGGACGGCCAGTACCTCGAGTAACTTGGCTTAAAGATGGAGTAGAAATTGAAAAGAAGATGAATATGGAAATAACTGATGTCCTAGGATCCACCAGCCTTTTCGTTAGACATGCTACCCGAGACCATCGTGGTGTATATAGT